GAATGATGCAAGATGAGAACCTTCCGCCTACAGAGCGGGCTCCCGGCCACAAACTCCCCGGGTGCCCCCAGGCAAGAAGCAGACCGAAGGGGCACAGGCAGAAACACGTGCTGCTGCTTTTCTGACAAAACACGGGGCTCTGGACGATATCCTGGCAATTATGAATTTTTAATGAGCTGTATATGGCCTCCTTTTCTGTCAGCACAGGTCTCAGAGCTGAGAGGTTCCAGCCTCTGTGAGTGTGAGGCCATCCTTGGGCTGACTGGGAACTGGGCGCTGTGACAGCTGTTAAAGTCAGCTCAAGGTGAGGACCCACAGTTCACAGGGGCAGCGTCAGCGGGTTAACAGCGCCCCTGGAATCGGAGCGGGGCAGGCGGGGCAGTGCAGTGAGAGCTCTCCTGGCCGCTGCTGAGGAAATGCTCTGAAGGCAGCTCCCAGGACAATGGAGTGAGAGGAAGGCAGCACTGTCTCACTCCTTCCCACGGGGAGAGCAGCTGCTCCCTGGTCCTGCTAGTGGTGGCTGCAGTATGTGGGCTGGCTCCCTGGTCCTGCTAGTGGTGGCTGCAGTATGTGGGCTGGTGCTCCCTGGTCCTGCTAGTGGTGGCTGCAGTATGTGGGCTGGTGCTCCCTGGTCCTGCTAGTGGTGGCTGCAGTATGCACCCAGAGCAAGGAAGATGCCCAGGGTCCCTCCCAGCAGACCTCCCGGGCAGTGAGCTGAGCAGGGGGCTCTCATGCTCCCTGCTCCCAGGTGGGCTGCACACTCGGATCAGGCAGGTCTGCACTGAGATGGGCCGGGCCATTCTCCCTGTCTCCCACCAGCACCTATGCAAGGTAGTCCATGTGGGCTGAGAAAGTGCCAGCCTGAGAAGGACCCTCCCTGCAGGTGGACCCCGAAGTCTAGCTAAGGCAGATCCAGGTCAGGCAGGCGTCTGGGGGTGTGTGGGACCTGAGCTCTGCTCTTCAGCAGAGGCGACCAGAACGGGTGCGGGGAGGGCCGCCAGGTGTGGAGGGCATTGCTGTGGCCACACTGGAATCCCTGCTTGGCCACCAGTCCTTGTCTCTTCTGTCGGGGAGTCTGGGTGGGGGGCAGGAGGGAGTGCTAGCCTCGGGAGGACAGGAGCAGGGCAGGAGCACTGTGGGTCACCTGTGATGCTCAGTCAGGGAATCCCGAGAGGGAAAACTGGCAAACGGTGCAAATAAAGGCAGCCTTGAAGGCTAGTGGAGACAATGAATAAAATACACTCTAAAAGCCAGGAATTTAAGAGGAAGCTGAAGGGTGTTATGTTACAAAGAACTTAGAGCCTAAAGCGAATGCTTCTAGGACAGTAACACATACAAGAAGGTACTTAATATCATAACGCTAGGGCGGATGTTCGCATTTTAGATGAGATACTACAGAGGAGGAAAAGGAAACACTGCCCCGCGTGCAGGAGCAGTTTAGAACTCCTTCCTTGGGGAGAAGAAGAGCAGAGGACCAGAGAGGCCCCTCTGCACGGCCAGGAGCCCGCAGCCGTGGGCAATGCTTTTCCTCTAGGATCTATTCTTTCTTCTCATGCGTGTAGAAACCTTACGCTGTATGAGGATTTACACATGCATGCGTGTGCTTACGTTTGGATGGTCACAGACCGACAACACCGTTCCATTGGCCCTGTGAAGGAAAGGGAAGGACCCGGGGGGACCACAGGTGAGGCCGACCTGGGATCATCAGTGTGTGCTTACCCGTGAGTCTGGTCTTCCACCGATTCTCTGAGCATTTCAGAAATACGCCTCAGTGGCTGGTGCTGCAGTCCCTGTGGGATGTCTGTGGGCGGAAGGAGAACAGAGGGCAACGGAAGACAAGTCCAGCCTCCCGGACGGAGTCTCTGCAGCTAGGCGGGAAGAGTTCGGGGACGGCCATCTTTTCTCCTGGCCCGTGGATCCCACCCCATGGCTCTGCTGCTCCCAGGGGAGAAAGATCCCTGCACCGCAGGGGCTGAACCCCGCCGTGGAGTCTGCAAAGCCCCCCCAAGGCCCGGCAAGCCCTGCTGCGGGGTCCAGGCTTTCTCTTTTCTGCCGACCTGTCCCCTCCTCGATCGCTAACAATGTGTGATTTCAAAATATGTGGAGACTGAAACACCGCTGAAAAGGAATTGGGCCTGGGGCTGCCCAACTCTTGCTATGATTGGGATGAATTCCGAATATGATTACAGGGTATAGTAAAGAAAAGGCCAGGAAAATATATACAAACAAATGTCTTTTCTTGAGTTAGTTTTTCTGGTTTCACAATTATCCTGTGATTTTAAACACATCTGAGGCGGTATGTATCTGCAGTTTGAAACAACATCTGAAAAAGGTTACCATATTTGCATGTAGTGAAAGATGCTATAAGTAAATACATGAGGAAGATAACGTAAGTAACAGTCACCACTGCTGCTCCACAAATGTTTCGGATTAAAGGCTCATGTATTCTCTCGCTTCCTCCTCTGAGCTCCCTACTCGGGATGTGCAGCCTCTGACGGCGTTTTCATTGTCTCCCTGCGTCAGCTGTTTAGGTAGGTACTTTATGTCCACTCAACTTACAGCTCCTGGAGCGCCAGGGCTCATCAGTGATCCACCTTTTATGCTCCACAGCACTTTACGGTGGGCATAAAATCAATTTCTGACAAACAGAAGGTTCTACTACTAAAAACACTTCAATCTGTGAACATAGCGCTGTTGGGTTTTTTCCCCCCTAAAATATGCAGAAAACTGTTCTAGAAACTAGCATAGGAGGCCCTTGTACTTCTGCCTGAATTTACTTATTTTGGACATAAACCCAGGACAGTCACACCAAGGAGAAGGGAGTAGGCTGGGTCCAGGCCCGTGTGCCACCAGGATCTTCTGCTTACAGATTCCCTACGTGAAATGAACAACTCCAGTACTGTTCCTGGAGCTCATGGCTTCTCACGCAGGCGGCCTTAGGCTGTGGTATCTGACTATGGCTGTGCGGTGTAGCCCTGGAAGGTGAGTGACTGACTTTTCTGTCTTGTTATTAGTCTTCCCATCGTGTTTCCACAGGTTACATTTCACTAAACTGTTCCCAGAGACCCGGCAGGCCCATCCCACCTCCAGCTCCAGCCTCTGAGGAGACAGTGTCGGGTGGGTCACCTTGGATGAGAATCTACCTCTTTTAGAAAAAAGGAAGAGGAAGCCCGACTTTATAAAATGCTGTGAAACTCTGAAACATCTACTGTCCTTAAATGAATCTACTTACCCAAGTCTCAGGGAAAAGGGAGGCCAAAATGGCGGGAAAGGAAGTGTTATGGATTCCTTTCTTCTTCCCTGCCTCTCCCTCCCACAGGCAGGTAAGATGCCTTCTCCAGCACGCTGCGCCCGTGCTGCCTCTCCCTCAGATTTCAGGCTTTACTCCACTGAAATGTTTGCTAAACATGAGCTCACAGGCGCCTTAAGGACCAACACCAGTTGACTTAAGGATGGAACTGTCACTTCCCCAGCTGGTGAGGCCTCTGGGAGGGAGAGTGAGAGAAGGCTGTGGTCTGATGCTCCCCGAATTCCTCCCTGGCCTCCCTGGCTTGGTTAGGAGAAATTTCCCCAAAATTTCCTTGGCTTCATTCATCCTTTTATCTTTCCTTTTCCAACAAGGGGGATAGAGTAGAACGAATGAAATACAAATAAATGCACTGTTGTATTCTAACTCAGCCAAGTCTTAGCTTGTTCCTGGCATCTAGGTGGGCCTGGCTGGCACCAGAGGACTGTGGTATCCGGGGCAGACTATCAAAACTTAACAAGAGGCCTTTTTTCTCATGCTGTTTTCTTTCTTTTGGTAAATGATCCTAACAGGGAAGTCAAGCAACTTGTCATGACAAAATCCACAGACTGAGAGACCCTGAGAGCGGACTGGGCGCTGAGATGAGGGTCCCTCTCCCTGTTTCCTAGGGAGGAAGTGGGGGGGTGCTCCGGAAGCCACATCATACCTTTCGGGTGCTGGAGTAGCGACATGACCAGAGACGGAGGAGCGTAAGGAAAGTAGGTCTTGAGTGCAAACTTCAGCTGCAATAGAATAAAAAATTCAAAACCGCATGAACATCAGGACCGGAAGGAGTGTAAAGAAAATACAAAGGCTCGCACCCCTGCCCAAAAGGACCCACTAGTACTAACGTGGTCAAATGTTTTTCTTTTATTTTAAAAAAAGATGCCCCCAGGAATCTTGTAAATACATTCTAGAAAAATAAACCTTTTAAAGAAGCCACCTGGGGCTTAAGGAAAATAAAGTTCTGCTCCTGATGTGTTTATGTAGGTTCTTTACCTCACATGGGCCTGATTATACACAGGACTCTTCTATGTAAGTGAGTCTCCAAGGCAGTCGAGACGGTGTTTCACCGCCATCGCCATGGAGGCACAGAAGCTCCACGAGACTTTTGTAAAAAGTGGAGGTAAAATCTAGACAGTGAAGTGCACGGGCGTTAAGGGTACGAAGTGGCAGGCTGTGGTAGATGTGTGGACCCGTGACCACCACTCCCAGTGGGACCCGACCTTCCTGTCCCCCAAAGGTGTCCTGTGGCTGTGACAGGCAGCCTTCCACCTGCCCTCGCAACCAGCACTGACTTCAATGAGAGATTAGTTTTTCTTATTCTTGAATTTCATATAAACAGAATCATAAGAATACATATTCTTTTGTGTCTGGCTTCTTTGGCTCAACATGTCTTTTTGAGGTTCATCCATATTATTGTGGGTAAGTAGTTCATTATGTTTTTTATTGCTTAGAAGCAGTCATTGTATGAATATGCCATAATCTGTTTATTCATTCTCCTATTGCTGGGCATGTGGGTTGTTTCCAGTTTGGAACTATTATGAATAAAGTTGTGATTTACACTCATATTTATGTCTTTCTGTGGACAAGGGCTTTCATTTTTGTTGGGTAAATACTACAGGAGTGGAGTTGCTGGGTCACAGAGTAGATGCTTTTTTTTTTTTAATCTTTAAATTCTTTATTAGTTAAGGATGCTTTTTAAGTTTATAAGAAACTGCCATACAGTTTTCCCCATGGCTGCACCATGCCCCCCGCCCCCCCTCCCAGTAGTCTATGTGAACTCTGCTGCCCACTCCCTCCGGATACTTGGCATTGGCCACTGAGTCGGGCAGGAGGCAACCAACTGATGAGTCTCTCTCACATCAATGTTTCTCTCTCTCCCCCTCCCTTCCACTCTCTCTAAAAATCAATGAAAAATCTGCTCAGGTGAGGAGTAACAACAACAAAAAACCAAATATTTCCCCCGGAGTTTATGCTTTCACGTGTGGGAGATAGCCCAGTACATCATTAGATCCTGCCACCACTAGATCCAGAACCTGAACTGATTTGCCGTGTGCACCGAGCTCTATTCAAGCGCAGGGAGGAGAAGCAGTGAAATAAACATGCCCGACAACGGGAAGAATGGGGTTATGAGTCTTATAAACTGCTGGGGGAGAGGAGTGGAAGTGATCCGGAGTATCTACAGAAGCAGGCCTTTGTATTCCTACCAGCACTTCCGCTTCTATGCATATCCCCGAGAATGTTCAGAGCAACACTGTTGGTAAGAGAAAACGAGATCTGGAAACCACCCGCAAGCCCACGCCCAGGAAATGGCTGCACTGGGCACCCCCGTGAGCACACAGCAGCACCTGCTGGCGCATCCTTCAGAAAGCCACCTTGGTAACAGCTGAGTGAAAAATGCAAAGCTCCGAAGACGCATACAGTAGCTACTCTTGTTTGCTGGTTGTTTTATAAAGTTCAACAACAAGCACGAGTAAAGAAAACATGGTTTAGGGAATCATATCTATGTGACCAGACTATTTTTGGAAAAAGCAAAGGATGGTAAAAATAAATTCAAGATAGTGTTCCCTGGGGGGAGACAGGCAGGGCAGCTGGCTAGAGCCAGTCCTGGGCCACTGGTGGTCCGTGAGGTCCGAAAGGTTGGTGACGCTGGGCTAGAGGAGCACACGGACACGGCTGATTCCGATTAATCCAGGTCTTGTTTGGGGGTCAGGTTCATAGATACTCATTTTATTAAGAATGAATACGTGAGTGAACAAAGGAACACAGAAATTAGAGGGTGATGCATGGAACACCCAGGACAAAAGATACTATGCATCAAGGATCATGGTTAATCTAAAAATGGACACACAAGAAGCAGGGCATCCATGATGATAAAGGCTATCAATCAGAAAGGCAGGCACTCAGGAATAGCCCTGGGAAGAGAAATGATATAACACACGCATATGTAGCCATTTGCAAAGGTAAGAGGTCACTGTCCTTTGATTCTGAGTCAAAGGTGAGGGTGATGAATTGCTGTCTTTTTAGATCCCTGCCTTGTCCTGCACTAGGACTCAGTGTGCCCCGCACCACCAGATACATGTAACCTGGTCAGGGTACTGTTCTAAATTAAAAGTGACAGAAATAAAACAAACAATCTTAAAATTGGTATGGAACCTCACAGGACCCTAAACAGCCAAAGCAATCTTGAGAAAAAACAACAAAGCAAGAGTTATCATGCTCCCTGACTTCAAACTTGATTATAAAGCTATAGTGATCTCAACAGTATGAAACTGGCATAAAAACAGACACACAGCTCAATGTAACAGAATTAAGATCCCAGAAATACCGTAAACACACGCATATATGGTCAATTAATTGACAACAAAAGAGCCACAAATATAAAATGTGAAAAGGACAGTCTCTTCAATAAATGGTGGTGGAAAACTAAGCAGCCATATGCAAAAGAATGAAGCTGGACCACTATTCTACACTATATGCAAATATTTTTTTTTTTATCCTTCCGCAGGTTCACCTACGGAAACCTTGTTACGACTTTTACTTCCTCTAGATAGTCAAGTTCGACCGTCTTCTCAGCGCTCCACCAGGGCCGTGGCCCTAAACCATCCAATCGGTAGTAGCGACGGAAACCTTGTTACGACTTTTACTTCCTCTAGATAGTCAAGTTCGACCGTCTTCTCAGCGCTCCGCCAGGGCCGTGGCCGACCCCGGCGGGGCCGATCCGAGGGCCTCACTAAACCATCCAATCGGTAGTAGCGACGGACGGTGTATACAAAGGGCAGGGACTTAATCAACGCAAGCTTATGACCAGCACTTACTGGGAATTCCTCGTTCATGGGGAATAATTGCAATCCCCGATCCCCATCACGAATGGGGTTCAACGGGTTACCCGCGCCTGCCGGCGTAGGGTAGGCACACACTGAGCCAGTCAGTGTAGCGCGCGTGCAGCCCCGGACATCTAAGGGCATCACAGACCTGTGATTGCTCAATCTCGGGTGGCTGAACGCCACTTGTCCCTCACTATATGCAAATATTAACTCAAAACAGATCTGGTCCATAAGCGCAGGGAAAAAAAAGCAAAAATAAACAAGTGGGACTACATCATACTACAACACTTCTACATAGCAAAATGCTTCTACACCATCAACAAAATGAAAAGGCAGCCTACTGAAATGGGAGAAAATATCTGAAAAACATATATCTGATAAGGGATTAACATCCAAAATATATGAAGAACTGATATAACTCAACAGAAAAAACCCTCAAACAATCTGATTAAAAATGGGCAGAGTAGCCCTAACCAGTTTGGCTCAGTGGAGAGAGCGTCGGCCTGCGGACTGAAAGGTCCCAGATTCGATTCCGGTCAAGGGCATGTACCTGGGTTGTGGGCACATCCCCAGTAGGGGGTGTGCAGGAGGCAGCTGATCGATGTTTCTCTCTCATCGATGTTTCTAACTCTCTGTCCCTCCCTCTCCCCTCCTCTCTGTAAAAAATTAATAAAATATATTTTTTAAAAAATGGGCAGAGTAACTGAATAGACATTTTTCCAAAGAAAACATGCTGATGCCAACAGGCACATGAAAAGAAGTTCAGCATCATTAGTCATTAGGAAAATGCAAATCAAACCACAATGAGCTATCCCCTCATACCTGTTAGAATTTCTATCATAAAGAAGACAAGAAATAACAAATACTGGCAAGGATGTGGAGAAAAGGGAATCCTTACACACTGTTAGTGGGAATGTAAATTGGTGCAGCCTCTATGGGAAACAGTATGGAGGTTCCTCAGAGAGTTAAAAATACAATTACCATATGATCCAGCAATCCCACTCCTGGGTATTTATCTGACAAAAATGAAAACACTAATTAAAAAAGACATAAGCATCCCCCCCTCCCATGTTCACAGCCGCATTATTTGCAATATCTAAGATAGGGAAACAACCTAAGTGTCCATCAGTGGATGAATGGATAAAGAAAATGTGGTGTGTGTGCGTGTGTATGTACAGAATGGAGTATTAATCAGCCATTAAGAATGAAATTCTGCCATTTGTGACAACATGGGTGAGCCTTGAGGGTATTACGCTCAGTGAAATGAGTCAGATGGAGAAAGACAGATGCCATATGTGCAATTAGGAAAGGAAGGGGAAGGAAAGGGGAAAGGGAAGGGGAAAGGACTGACCAAGCTCACAGATAAAGAGAACAGACTGGTGGTTGATAGAGTGGGGATAGGGGGTGGGGGAAATCAGTAAAGGAAGTCAAAAGGTACAAATTTCCAGCTACAAAATAAGGAAGTCACGGGGATGTAATGTGCAGATGTCGTACACAGTTTACAAGACTATATTGCATGTTTGAAAATTGCTAAGACTGTAGATCTTAAAAGTTCTCCTCACAAGAAAAGAAAATTTGTAAGTATATTTGGTGACATGTTACCTAGACTTATTGTGGAGATCATCTCACAGTATATATAAATATTTCATCATTATGTTTTACACCTGCGACTAGTAGAATATGTCAATTAAACCTCAATAAAAAAATAAAGAAAAATAAATAAATTAATTAATTAAAATAAACTGCAAATCAAGTCCAAATCCACAGTGCCCAAGGCCAGCACTCAGGAGGAGCAAAGCAGATAAAGAAAACCCGACTCGCGCTAACACGACAGAGCAACGCGTCTCTCCGTCTCGCCCCACCGAGGTGCTCCACCAGGCGAGGGGGAGGTTTTCTAGTGGCTGGTCCCTAACTGGGAAGTGACAGAATGAACCAGGGAGGAGAACAGATAGGGAAAGAGATGATGGGAAAAGATACATCAGAAATACTTGTCATTGCCTTAAACAACAATGATAAACCTGAGCGCCAGGTCCAAGTGCTGGAAGCATCAGGGACCGGACGGCCTCCCTCCGGGAAGCAGGCCCCGGTCCTTGAACAGGCGGAGCGCCACACAGACGCACAGCTGGTAAAATGCCCTAAGGCGAGAGCCCTCGGGCGGAGAGGGCCTGTTTCCAGGGTCACTCACTGGTCAGCGGTCCTGGCCAGCGCCGCCTGGTCTCTGTGGATGGAGCCCTGCAGAGCAGGTCTTCCTGCAGGCCCTGGGCCTGGCTCCTTGCTTGCTGATGGTGTCCAACTCCCACCCCTTCGTCACGGCCATTTCTAGCTCCTCCCCTACAATTATTCAAGTCTTCCCTTATCACCCTCACTACTTCCTTTCTCTCTTGGAATCCAATTCACATTTGGGTCTCAATGGGATGGAAACTCTAATAATTAAGAATGTCCAGAATTGCTTTGTAATAAGTGGCATTCCTTCTTAGCACATGGCATACAGACCCCAGAATGCCTCTTGCTGGCCTGGGAGGGGTGGAGTCCGCTGGGCAGACAGCTCGCGCAGGGTGGCGTGGCAGGGCTCTGACACACAGAGAGTAAATGCTTCTGGGCGCAGGGCTGAGAGGAACTACCTTGTTACTTTCAATTAAAACCAGAGGCCCGGTACATGACATTCATGCACTTGGGAGGGAGGGGGGGGTCCCTCAGCCGTGCCTGCGCCTTTTCACAGTCTGGGAGCCCTCAGGGGATGTCCAACTAATGGCTTAAGCCTGCTCCCCATGAGTGAATGGTGCTGCCCTGGCTTAAGCCTGCTCCCCATGAGTGAATGGTGCTCCCCTTGTGGGAGCGCATTGACCACCTGGGGGGAGCTCCTGCATCAAGCGTCTTAGTGCATCATAGCGACCAGTTGTTTGGCAGTTTGGTCAATTTGCATATTACACTTTTATTACCGTTGCTGGGCATACATTTGGAAGCTTTCTTTGTGAGCAAACAGTCCTATCAAAGTCACTGAAAATAAAATGCTCCTCTCTGGTGATGAGCCACATCCTCTGAGCCCTGTGTGGAAGCAGGAGAACCTCCCCCTCTTCTAAAGACGGGAACGTGCCGCACTCGCCTCCTGCGTTGTTAAATCATGAAGCCTGCACATCCTTCCCACACGGGCCTGGGTGCGCTTTGCAAGCATGTGCACACTGTGTGCCCAGACACGCAGCAGCAACTGGCCTTTTGCTTTTTCAAGGGGAGAAAGAGCTGCCCAAGGGGGAAATGGCTCCAACAAATCCATCCGCCCAAGTGGCGGAAGACTGCGCGGAGCTGGTTTCTTTCCACACAACCAACTTTTCTTATGTGTAAACGGAAAAGCAGCTCAAACTCTGCTAGCTTTAAACTAAGAACAGCATCCCGGGCGGAGGGAGGACAGAGCAGGCTGGAAGAGGTTAATGGGGGAAATGGAGAACCTATGTAATAGTTTCAACAATAAAGACTAAAAGAAAATAAAAATAAAAACAGCATCCTGACTTATTTCTATGCTTATTTAGCTTAAAGCTAGTATGTCTCGAGACCAACCCATTATTTGCTGTGTGAACATTCCCTTCCCAGGTCTGCTGCTCTGCGGCTGAGCGTGCGGGTGGGGAGGAGGGCAGGCACCTGGGCCAGCTGCCCTGCAGAAGCTGGAGACCCTTCCTGAGACCAGCTCCCAGAGAGGCCGTCCCCCACAGCTGCAGCATCCCCTAACCTGTGTCTAGTGCAGTGATGGCGAACCTTTTGAGCTCGGCGTGTCAGCATTTTGAAAAACCCTAACTTAACTCTGGTGCCGTGTCACATATAGAAATTTTTTGATATTTGCAACCATAGTAAAACAAAGACTTATATTTTTGATTTTTTAAAAATATATTTAAATGCCATTTAACAACAATCAACCAAAAAAATGAGTTTGCGTGTCACCTCTGACACGCGTGTCATAGGTTCGCCATCACTGGTAGTGCATCCTCTCTCAGCACCTGTGAATCACTGCACTTCCAGGAAGTACTCTGGTTTGCCCAATAAAAATCAACATGTTATAAGATAACTCACATAGCTGATTTTAACTTTCAGAAGAGCTCTGTTAAGAAAGCATTTATTACTTATTCTTCTTGTTTTTCCTTAATTTAAAAAATCCCTTAAAAAGATTGGTCAGCCCTCGTGTGGTGAAGGTAGCACACTGCTACACTTTGTTTTGAGCTGAGAAAAGTGCTACGAGTATTTAAAATCTAGTTCAACTCTTTTCTACCATTATTATTAGAATTTTTAAAGGGTAAATAAAGAAAATTATCTTAATTCTTAAGCATTGTCTTTTAAATTTACACTGACATTTGGGTTTTACCAAAAAGCTCAGAGGGTAAGATGGGATCAGAAACTAATTACCCCACGACACACCCAGAGATCACCCCAGAATGTTTTTATTTATATTTGGAAATTAAGCGTTTTTAAACCAATTATTAGCAGAAATAGCACAACATTTACCTGAACATTTCATCAACAATTCTGAAGATGGCAGGGTGGCAGGCTGCTTGAGGCTGCAGGAAAGACCAGGAGACAGTAAAACATCAGAAGCATTTCATCAGTAACATCTGGCTATTATCAGGCAAAGGCGTTGTTAGAACTGCTGGTGCCTAGAAAATGGGCCCAGTCCTTTGGGTTAGAAGAGATGGACAAAACCCTGCACACAAATGCAAACAGTGGTTATCCTTGGGCAAGGGGTTACGGCCTGCTTTACTTTCTCTTCAGGTTCAGGCATGTCCCACATTTTCTGCAATAAGCCCCTAGGATCCAGGAGAAAGGAGCCAGTATCATGGACAGACATAAAACACTTCCTACCAGCATGCGGCAGTGAGGACACGGCGCTGCCTGTGCAGCCAGTGTTGGTAACGAGTCTGACCTCACAGGACCTAGGGCAGTGATGGCGAACCTTTTGAGCTCAGCGTGTCAGCATTTTGAAAACCCTAACTTAACTCTGGTGCCGTGTCACATATAGAAATTTTTTGATATTTGCAACCATAGTAAAATGAAGACATATATTTTTTTTAAATATATTTTATTGATTTTTTACAGAGAAGAAGGGAGAAGGATAGAAAGTTAGAAACATCGATGAGAGAGAAACATTGATCAGCTGCCTCCTGCACACCCCCCACTGGGGATGTGCCCACAACCAAGGCACATACCCTTGACTGGAATCGAACCCCGGACCCTTCAGTCCGCAGGCCAATGCTCTATCCACTGAGCCAAACCAGTCAGGGTGAAGACTTATATTTTTGATATTTATTTTATATATTTAAGTGCCATTTAACAAAGAAAAATCAACCAAAAAAATGAGTTTGCGTGTCACCTCTGACACGTGTGTCATAGGTTCGCCATCACTGGCCTAGAAGGACCTCCAGGTCAGACCTGGGCGGGCTCTTCCCGTTCCCGCCTATTAGGTGCTGAGGTCACCATGGTTTCATACTGAGGAAAGCCATGATGGACTAAGTAATGTCACAGCTCAGTGCACCATGAATGCAGCAGTTTAAATTATTTAGGATGAAAAGAGGGTTAATACAAAATTTAATATACCATCATCTCAAATGACTGAAGTGATCTAATTTATTCCCGAAATATTTTTGTGACAGGTTTTGATGGTTTAAGCGTGGCCTAGGTGAGGCATTAGCAGGCCTGACCCAGATTCTGTATCTTCCTGGGCAGACATCAGAGCATGAGATTAGGCCAGATGGAATGTCACTTGTGTTCTAATCAGATATTTGTAGTAGCGCCCAGTGTTAGTGGGTTAGGCTCTGCAGGGAACTTCCTGGGGTCACAGTGTGCGTGATATGACTAGATTTTGGGAAATATCTTTCTCATACCCCACCTGCCCAAGAGAAAAAGAAGAAAGGGTGTGCTTCGTCCCTCAAGCTTTCTGATCACGCCGAGGAGAGAATGGTGCCTATCCCCAACATTTCTTTCTTTTTTTTTAATCTTTAATTTATTTATTGGTTAAGGTATTACAAATGTGTCCTCATCTCAGATTTGAATTGTGAACCCCTTTTCCTCCTCCCTTCTCCTTATAACTTTGTAGTTCTCCTTGACCTTCTATATATTCTGGCTATTCTTTTCATGTACAAGGTTAACTTGTTTCTTAAGTATTTGCCTTGCACATTTTTCTTAATTTAGATTCTTTTTTTTTGTAATGTTACCTGACTCTTAAACTGTAAGTGTCTGAAGTTCAGTTTCTAGCTGGAGAGCTCCATCTGTTTATCATGCCGTCAACCTCAATATGCTGACATATGAATTGTCTTTCTCTTAAAATGTATTCTTTCTAACTTTCCTTTCTCTATTATTGGCTTATCCTTCCCATTTCCCAAGCTTGATTTATGAGTCACCTTTGAAGTCCTCATTAGATCCATTCAATTGTCAAACTGTGAATTCTGTTACTAAATGTTTCATCTGCTCTTTTCTGTTTCATTTCTTACTATAGAAGTTTAGGTTCTCATTACCACTAACATATAAATAATTATAATTTGATAGAGGAAGAGGAGGCAGAGGCAGTTCTACTAGGGTATGATGGGAGGAAGCTGTGTTGAAGGGAAGTGGCATTTAAGTTTAGTATCAAAGAATAAGTAGGGACATTACAGGCAGAGAAACTGAAGAAAGACTTATTATTTATTAAATGTTGTCAACTCCTAAGACTTTTACTTTAATCCTTACTGCATGTGCATGTTTTTCCTTTTGGCCTC